AGGAGTTTGAACCAAAACTGCCTAGGGATATTTTAAAAACGTCGAGGAACAAGTCATTCGACGTCAGAGCAAGGTTTTGAGCAATTTATAGTGCTTCTAAAACTGAAAAGTACCTTTTAAAGAATAGCACGATTGGCAATCGGCTTCTGTTTTCAGAATTAGCAAACATTGAATTTACTTGTCCCGAAAATTGAAAGTAGTGTCTCCTTCTTCGTGGTTGTAATTTGTTTTTGAAATTCCAAAACAATTTCACAGCTGAATTTTGAGCGACTTTTAGTTACGGACTTCTGCTCCAACGATTTTTCTGAAATTTTTCTGGCATATTTATCATATCAATTAAAGCCGATACCAGAAATTTCAGAAAAAAATATCAGCAAAATTTTTTACTAGACGCGATTTTCTTTGAACAGTAGGGTCCTGTTAAGCGCTAATTTCTCAGGAAATATTTACCATCACTGAAATCGGAATATTTCATATTACTGCCGAATGATATCTGTTGTTCTTTGCAAAGTTTCACTGCCATCGCGTTAAAATCGAAAAAGTTATGACGGAAAATTTGTCACAGGTAAATGCTCTAGTATTAATTACGGAGCCACCTTAAACATGACGCATAATGCTTCCTTTTGTGCTGAGAGCGTAAACGCTGCCGCGTGGAACAGACCGAGCGAGGTTGGTTGAAGCTAAGCTTAGTTGTTTCTGCTGGTGCATAAATGCACGCATGAAATCAACCCGACTGGAAAGTTTCCAGAGAGACCATGGATAAGAGAGTACGGTTCACTAGCGAAGCAAGTATTTGGAAGTGTTTTGTTTGACTGAGAAAGAAAAGGAGCAATATATATACGGCGAGAACTACAAACTTTTTGTTTTGAATTCAATATGGAAAAACATCCTCTTAGCCAAACGTGTGGGGACAAACATTGGCAGAGCAACTGCCACCACATACAATGGGGATCGTCATTTCCATAATGTGCGATATCGATAAGTGATTTTAGATGTTTTGAATTAATTACTTAAATGTTTGTTGTCAAATTATGAAAAAAAGACACTTCAATATAAAGTTTTTGCTACAAACCAGCTCATAGTATTTTACAGAGATGTATTTAAATACTCTACTTTTAGGGTTTTATTTTTTGGAAAAAGAAATGCAGGAACCATTGATTTTTTGTCCCTCATATTATGAAATAATGCATTTAAAGACCAAGAGAAAATTTACCCTTTTGGTTGCTTCTAACTCAGATTTTGTCTCTGCTAATGTAATACTAAACCAACACCCTTGATATTAGCCTGTGCCACAGATGGAACTGAACTCTGGGTTAAGTCCATCTGCAAAACAGTGGCAAAGTCCTAGTTCTGGGCCCCCTGTGTGTGTATCAGGATTAGAGAACATGCCAGGACCGGACTGTTAAAAATGCCATTGTCCATTTGCCAATCATGTTGAAGGGGACCTCAAAGTACTGGTAATTCATTTAGTGCGTCAGGGCCCAGAACAAGGATATTAGAGCTGCTCCGCAAATGTTACTAACCAGAGTTAGAATACACCTGCAACACAAGCTACCTTGATATTTAATGTTCAAAATATTAGGTAGCTGAGATTGTTGAAAATTTGGAAGACTAATGTAGATGTCTTCAAGACTGAATTAACTTATGCTACAACATTGTGTCCCTAGCGATTTTGATTTTGATTTTGTATATGTTGTAGTTCATTTTTATTTCAGTTATTTTTTATTTTTCCATCGTTTCTGGGTATGGTTATGTACGCTAATGAATTTAAAACAAAGGAAAACCAAAAATTAACTGAAATTAAAAATTAACTGCAACATAATCACTAACATGTAACTCACCTAAATGTCACTTTTTTCTCCTTAAGTCGCCTAAAGTCGCCTTAAATCGCCTTAAGTCACGCAACATTTTGACCAAATTTTCCTAAAGTCACTTTAAATCGCCTTAAGTCGCCTAAAATTACGGCGACTTAAGGTCCCAGAGTAGGCCTGCGACAACGTACGTGAATTATGTTTCACCCAGTTCAAAGTGAGGTACAAAACATCATATTTTTCAAATGAGACGTTAATAATTGGTACTTAGATATTGAATCTAACTCGGAGGTATGCGGCGTATTTGTGTTTTTAGACGTTTGAACAAGAGCTAATTTATTTCAAAAGCTGTACCAAGTTAATTCCGTAAACATGCTTTATTCTCTCTCGTACAAAGTTCAACAGACCTTTAAATTCACGTTCCAGGAACTTAAGTGCAACCATAGTGATACATGTTTGCTGTCATAAAAGTAATTAAAACGTATTTAATTTACCCATTGGTCACGTAAAAATGCGTAACTCTTGCCGAAATAATTAGAGATTGTTTTATTGAGTGAGATAACTTAAGATGAGTAGAAATCAGCATTTCGGCAATTTGACAATCCTCTTGGAAGTAAAGTAGTGATATTAGGTTATCAATCCTAACGTTGAATGATGCATAATTTTTAAGGTGTTTCGATAAAGTTTTT